TCCTTTTTGACTCACCTCCTAGAGAAATGGAAATAAAAACAAAAATAAACAAATGGGACCTAATGAAACTGCAAAGCTTTTGCACAGCAAAGGAAACCATAAAGAAGACCAAAAGACAACCCTCAGAATGGGAGAAAATACTTGCAAATGAAACAACTGACAAGGGATTAGTCTCCAAAATTTACAAGCAGGTCATGCAGCTCAATATCCAAAAAACAAACAACCCAATCCAAAAATGGGCAGAAGACCTAAATAGACATTTCACCAAAGAATATATACAGGTTGCCAACAAACACATGAAAGAATGCTCAACATCATTCATCGTTAGAGAAATGCAAATCAAAACTACAATGAGATATTATCTCACACTAGTCAGAATGGCCATCATCAAAAAATCTAGAAACAATAAATGCTGGAGAGGGTGTGGAGAAAAGGGAACACTCTTGCACTGCTGGTGGGAATGTGAATTGGTACAGCCACTATGGAGAACAGTATGGAGGTTCCTTAAAAAACTACAAATAGAACTACCGTATGACCCAGCAATCCCACTACTGGGCATATACCCTGAGAAAACCATAATTCAAAAAGAGTCATGTACCAAAATGTTCATTGCAGCTCTATTTACAATAGCCAGGAGATGGAAACAACCTAAGTGTCCATCATCGGAAGAATGCATAAAGATGTGGCACATATATAGAATGGAATATTACTCAGCCATAAAAAAGAAACAAAATTGAGCTATTTATAATGAGGTGGATGACCTAGAGTCTGTCATACAGAGTGAAGTAAGTCAGAAAGAGAAAGAGAAATACCCCTACTAGAGAATGGACCTGAGGATATGGGGAGGGGTAAGGGTAAGCTGTGACAAAGTGAGAGAGTGGCATGGGCATATATACACTACAAAACATAAAGTAGATAGTGGGAAGCAGCCGCATAGCACAGGGAGATCAGCTCAGTGCTTTGTGACCACCTAGAGGGGTGGGATAGGGCGGGTGGGAGGGAGGGAGACGCAAGAGGGAAGAGATATGGGAACATACGTATATGTATAACTGATTCACTTTGTTATACAGCAGAAAAAAACACACCGTTGTAAAGCAATTATACTCCAATAAAGATGTAAAAAAAAAAAATAGCCAACGTTGATGGAGTACTTGCTATGTACCAGGCACTGTATTGGGCATTTTTCAGGGATTATTTCACTTAACCCTCACAATCACTCCTTGGGATGATTACTATTATTATCCCTAACTGAGGAAACAGCGGCTCTCGGAGATTAATTTGTCCAAGGTCACAGGGGAGATGCATTTTTGTGGAAACGTATTCATTCAAGCCTGGCTCAAATACCCATTCCCCTCTCCCAACATCTGCAAGCAGAACACCTGATTCTGGGCTCCTCGAACACTTTTGGGAGGCTGATATCTTTGTGCTTATCACTTGCCCCCTTGTAGTGTGTGGATTGTTTCTGCACGTCTCTCCCAGCATACTGGACTTTGAATTCAGGGTTTGGCAATTAATAGACTATCAGTATACGTGTCAAGTTAGTGGTATGAAGTCTCATTTAGCTCTCACAACCACTTTGTAGGTAGAATTTTTCTTGTTTTTACAGATAAAGGCTGAGAGAGGTTAAGTAATTGGCTCAAGTTCACACAGAGCATAGAAGCTGGAGTCAGGTTTTGACTCCAGACATCTAACTGTGCCTACTCTGTGCTGGCATCCCGGTACACTCAGTTGTCCGAGCCAATCCAGAAACCAGTGTTAAGTTAACTCAACAAGGAGACCATTAAGACGGGTGGCACCGGGCTTCCCTGGCGCCGCAGTGGTTAAGAATCCGCCTGCCAACGCAGGGGACACGGTTCGAGCCCTGGTCTGGGGAGATCCCACATGCCGCGGAGCAGCTAAGCCCGTGAGCCACAACTACTGAGCCTGCGTGCCACAACTACTGCAGCCCACGCGCCTAGAGCCCGTGCTCCACAACAAGAGAAGCCACTGCAATGAGAAGCCCGTGCACCGCAGCGAAGAGTAGCCCCCGCTCACCACAACTAGAGAAAGCCCGTGCACAACAAGGAAGACCCAACACAGCCAAAAATAATAAATAAATAAAATAAATAAATTTATTAAAAAAAAAAGACAGGTGGCACTAATGCCGTGGCAGCCTACGTAAGCAAACCCAAATCGAAATGCAAACCTAAGGACAACCAGTCACAAACAGCCAACGAGGCTTTAAGCTATAGCCAACCAATAATTCCTTGCTTTGCTTCCACCTTCTTTCTATAAAGTCTCTCCCAGAGTTCCTGTTGGTGGAAGGCTCCTAACAACTTCTGGTCTAGTGCTGCTCCATTCCAATTGATTTTTTCTCAAAGAAACTAAGAAGTTTTAATATGCCTCAGTTTATCTTCTAGCACCAAGGAAGCATTCTGTACAATACTTCTCGGCTCGTGATTCTCTCCCATCCCCCACTCCCCTCCAGTCACTGTTCAGTCTATCACCTTGTCCCCGTCCCCTCCATCACCACCGCCTTCACTCACCTGGATTACTGCAATGGTTAGTGTAAAAGATTTGGAATTTTGGCTGACCTCCAAAACAAAAAGACTAAAAATTATCTGTGACTTTCATAAATTGCAAGCATTTCTTATTATCTCCCTTAGAGACAAAGGCATACTTCCGCACCCTCAGCCCTGTGTAGCTTAAATCATGGTTCACTGGGAAGTTAGAATTGTGTTTACACCTTGTGACATAAATTTTGGTATGAGGATCAACACACTTCTCCAATCCTATAAATCACATGAAGCAACTGGATAGTTTCCAAGGTTCTAACCTCGTTTGCTGATTGCATTTATGAGTTTATTTCAGAGTCTGCCATTTGGGACCCAACTGTGATAATTGCACTTGTTTTCCTGAGTTGTTGTTGTTGTTTTCTTTTTGTGGTACGCGGGCCTCTCACTGTTGTGGCCTCTCCTGTTGCGGAGCAGAGGCTCCGGACGCGCAGGCTCAGCGGCCATGGCTCACGGGCCCAGCCGCTCCGCGGCATGTGGGATCTTCCCGGACCGGGGCACGAACCCGCGTCCCCTGCATCGGCAGGCAGACTCTCAACCACTGTGCCACCAGGGAAGCCCCTGAGTTGTTTTTAACCCATTTCATTTGCTCTTTCTCTCTGGGGCTGGGGCCTTGCCTTGCTCTTACCTTCACTAAGCTGCATTTCTGGTTTCCTGCCTTCCTACCTTGGCATTGAATATCATATACTCCTGCTATGCTATTGCTATGCTCTGTCACCTGTAGGGACACTTGGTCGTGTTGTGTTAAGACCCCCCTGCAGTACCGGCTGCCCGCCCTTTGCTGCCAGCATCCTTCAGAAAACTTCCTCTCATGCCCTTGAAACAGATCTGTCTCCCAACTGCCTGCCTCGTCTCGGGGTGGCCCTCTTTCCAAGCACCGGAACTAGTTTAGACCCATAAATGTCCCTTTGATATCTACTTATTGCAAACACAAGAGAAACTTCTTCAGAGCAAAGGAAGTCAGTCATTTTTGGCAGTCGGCTCAGACTGTTTCAACAATAAAGCTTCTCCGAATATTAAGGTCTCCTGCTCTTCTGGGAACAAAGTACTCTAGCTAATATTGTCAGGTGACCTGCCAAAAAGAAAGGTCACTCTGGTAGGAGTTCCACATGCTATTTAAAGATCGGATGTCCCTTGGATGGGAAAGCCGCGCTATATGGCCAGGGTTTTAATGAAGCAGAGAAAGGTACAATGTGGCAAAATTTGATAGTAAACAAAATTGCTCCCTTGAAAAATAACACTGTCCATTTATTCTGTTCTGTAATTCCATTTAAAGTTATTGTCTTCGTTGGAGTATTGTGAATTATTTGTTAGCATTATGTATTTAACTTGTTAAGTGAAGACGTGTTCTTGAATGAGAGGAAAACAAACTTGTTTTAATCGTTTTTTAATAGTCTTAGGAATATTTCTAAAAGTTGGAGCTATGTCTCAAGGGAGGAAATGGAGATCATGAGACAATGAAACAATCTCTCTCCATATTTATTATGTTTACCCTCAACTCCATCTAATAATTGATGCTTGCAAGGCTATTCCTTTTTTGCTCTACCAATCCTTCTTCTTCCTCTGATTGTTCTACATTCATTTGGAAATAGCGATTCCCCAAAACTAGAGTTGTCTGTTCCACTTTCTCCATTTTCCACTTCCTCACCTTTCGTTCACTAGTTTTGTGTAGTTAAACATTCATTTTTCACTTTATTATGTCCATGCAAATAACATTCACAACTTAATGTTGTGTGTACTGTAATCGTGAGGTTTCTCTTTACCATTTGCTTTTTCCCTATAGTTAATAATTGCCTTTTCTTAAAAATTGCTTAGTTTTCCTTGTCTCATAATTTCTCCCACATCTTCGAATATTCTATCAGTCCACTTTTCCATAAGATCAAAGTACATAATGCGTCAATTCCAATTCCAAAATAAATGAATTCTTTTAAATTTGCAAGGGCTATGACATATAGCTCTATGTTATAAAATTTGAAAATCTTGACACTTTAAAAGTAGAGTGTTTATGAGTGTCCTTTTTAAAAAATATGTAGACCATTGAAAAATATTGATAAGTCATACCACCTTCAAGTGGCAGCACTTCTCTGGGAGGCAGTAAAGCTTAGGGGCTGAGTGTCTGGTATTAGAGTGCCTAGCTTCAAATCCTGGCTCTGTGCTCACCTGCAACTAGAGACTCACCGTCTTGTGCCTCAGTTTCCTCATCCTTAAGATGGAGATAATAATACCTACCACAAGGGTTCTTGGAGGTTTAACCTAGATAATATACAGTTATCCATATACTATAGATAACTATGTTATATATATTATATATAATTATATATCTATACTCTATAAAGTATATAAAGTATTATATACTTTATATAATGCCCGATGCACAGTAAACACTTAGTGAATGTTAGGTATTATTTAGCACGATAGCAAAGGAAGAAACAATGTTTAAAATACTGAAAGACTTTATCTAAAGCCTATGTATGAAAAATATGAACACAAAATTAAGAGGAAAGTAATAAGTTGGAATAAAAACATTCGCAGCATGTGTGACAGAGCAAAAGGTAAACATTTCATATTAGATAAAATAGAAAAACAGGCAAAGTACATAAATTCTGTGGTTTATAAAAGAAATAAAACTGGGGACTATATGGGGACTTCCCAGCAATCCAACGGTGAAGACTCTGTGCTTCCACTGCAGGGGACATGGATTCAATCCCTGGTCTGGGCTCTAAGATCCCTCATGCTCTACGGTGTAGAAAAAAAAAAAAAAGGCTATATGAAAACATATCTGCTTTCATTTATAATAAAAATTGCACATTAAAATATAATGTATACAAAAAAGAGAGAAGACAAATTGCTAATATCAGAAATGAAAAAAGGGTTATTACTACTGATCCCACAGATATTAAAAGAATAATAAAGGAGTGTTATCAACAACTCTGTACCCACAAATACGATAACTCGGGTGAAATGGACCATTTCTTTGAAAGACACAATCTACAAAAACCCACACCTAGGAGAAACAGACAATCTGAAAAGCCTATATCTATTATGGAAATTGAATTAGTGATTAATAATATTCCAAAACAGAAGGTACCAGGCCCAGATGGATTCACTGGTGAATTCTACCATACATTTAAGGAAGAAATGATACCAGTTCTCTACAATCTCTTCCAGAAATAGAAGCTGAGGGAATACTTCCCAACTCATTCTATGAGTCCAGCATTACCCTAACAGCAAAACCAAACAAAAACATTAAAGAAAGGAAAACAAGCCAATGTCTCTCATAAACATGGATGTGAAAATTCTCAACAAAATATTAGCAAATCAAGTCCAACAATGTATAAAAAGAATTATACACCATGATGAAGTAGGATTTATTCCAGGTACATGAGGCTGATTCAACATTTGAGAATCAATTAATGTAATTCATCACATCAACAGGCTAAAGGTGATCATATGATTATACCCATAAATGTAGAAAAAGCATTTGAAAAAATCCAATAGCCATTCATAATTCAAACAAACAAAAGAAACCTTAGCAGACTGGGAACAGAGGGTAACTTCCTCAACCTGATAAAGAATGTCTACAAAATACCTACATCTAACTTCATACTTAATAGAAACTAGATGCTTTCTGCCTAAGATTAGGAACAAAGCAATGATGCCCCCTCTCACCTCTCCTTTCCAGCACTGCACTGGAAGTCCTAAGTAATGAAATAAGATTAAAAGAAGAAGTAAAAGGTATACAGTTTGGGAAGAAAGAAATAAAACTGTCTTTGCTCACAAATAACGTGACTGTTTGTGTAGAAAATCCCAAAGGAAGAACAAAAAACCTCCTGAAGCTGATACATGATTGTAGACAGGTTGTAAGATACAGATGAATGATACCAAAGTAACTGCTTTCTTATATACCAGCAACGAACAATTGGAATTTGAAATTTAAAACACAACACCATCTACATTAACACCATTTACAAAAGAAAGAAAAAGAAATACTTAAGGAAAAATCTCCAAAAATATATATAAGATCTAGCTGATGAAAATTACAAAATTCCGATGAAAGAAACAAAAGAAGATCTAAATCAATAGAGATGTATTCCATGGATAACGAGAGTCAATATTGTCAAGATATCAGTTCTTTCCAATTGGATCTATAGATTTAACTCAATTCTAATAAAAATACCAGCAAGTTATTTTGTGGCTATTGACAAATTGATTCTAACGTTTACATGGAGGGCCTTCCCTGGTGGCACAGTGGTTAAGAATCCACCTGCCAATGCAGGGGACATGGGTTCGATCCCTGGTCTGGGAAGATCTCACATGCCACGGAGCAACTAAGCCGGTGCATAACAAATACTGAGCCTGCTCTCTAGAGCCTGTGAGCCATGACTACTGAGCCCATGCACCACAACCACTGAAGCCCGTGCACCTAGACCCTGTGCTCCATAACAAGAGAAGCCACCGCAGTGAGAAGCCCACGCCCTGCAACAAAGAGTAGCCCTCGCTCACCAAAACTAGAGGAAGCCCGCAAGCAGCCACGAAGACCCAACGCAGCCAAAAATAAGTAAAATAAATTTTTTAAAAAAGAAATTTTTATGGAGAAGCAAAAGACCCAGAATAGCCAACACAATATTGAAGAAGAAGAACAAATTTGGAGAACTGCCACTATCTGACTTCAATTCTTAACTCTAAAGGTACAGTGATGTGGAATTAGCAAAAGAATAGACAAATATATCAATGGCACAAAATAAATAGCTCAGAAATAGACCTACACAAATCTGATCAACTCATCTTTGACAAAGGAGCAAAGGCAATTCAGTGGAGAAAGGATAATCTTTTCAACAAATGGCACTGGAAAAACTGGACCTCCACAGGCAAAAAGAAAAGGAAAGAAGGAATTGACACAGACCTTACATCTTTCACAAAAATTAACTCAAAATGGATCACAGACCTAAATGTAAAATGCAAAACTAAAATTCTAAGAAAATATAGAAGGAGAAAGTCTAGGTGATCTTGTGTTTGGCAATGAGTTTTTAGATTCAACATCAAAAGTGCAATCCATGAAAGAAAACCTAAGTGGAACTTCATTAAAATTAAAAACTTCTGCTCTACAAAAGACACTGTTAAATGAATGAAAAGACAAGCCATAGACTAGGAGAAAATATTTACAAAACACGTATCTGATTAAGAACTTATATCTAAAATGTACAAAGAATTCTCAGAACTCAACAATAAGAAAATAAACAACCTAACTTTAAAAATGGGCAAAAGATCTAACACCTTAACGAAGAAGCTATAGATGGCAAAAAAGTATATGAAAAGATGCTCAACATCATATGTCATTAGGGAAATGACAAACTAAAACAAAAATGAGACACCTATTAGAACGGCCAAAATCCAAAACAATGACAATACCAACTGCTGAACAGGATGTGGAGCTACAGGAGCTTTCATTCATTGCTGGCGGGAATGCAAAATGGTCCAGCCATTTCAGAAGACAGTTTCTTACAAAGCTAAACCTAGACTTATTGTACAATCCGTTAATTGTACTCCTTGGTATTTACCCAAATGAGTTGAAAATTATGGCCACAAGAAACCCTGCATTTCAATGTTTATAACAACTCCATCACACTTTCCTGAACTTAGAAACAACCAAGATGTCCTTTAGTAGGTGAATGGATAAACAAACTGTGGTACATTTATAAAATGGAATAGTATTCAGTGATAAAATAAAATGAGTTATCAAGCCATGAAAAGACATGGATGAACCTTAAATGCATATTGCTAAGTGGAAGAAGCCAACTAGAAAAGACTATATACTGAATGATTACAGCTATATGGCATTCTGGAAAAGGCAAATTATAGAAATAATAAAAACAGTAGCGGTTGCTAAGGCTTCTGGGGGAGGGGAAGATGAATAAGTACAGTACAGAGAATTTATAGGACAGTGAAACTATTCTGTATGATACTGTAATGGTGGATACATTATATGGTGAAGCATGATAATACATGACACCATGAAACATAATGTATGCAAATAAACACTTGTCTAAACTCATAGAATATACAACACAGAGTGAACCCTAATGTAAAGTAAGGACTTTAGTTAAAATAGTATATCAATATTGGTTCATCAGTTATAACAAATGTACCACACTAATGCAAAATTTAATAACAGGGGAGGGCTTCCCTGGTGGCGCAGTGGTTGAGAGTCCGCCTGCCGATGCAGGGGACGCGGGTTCGTGCCCCGGTCTGGGAGGATCCCACGTGCCGCGGAGCGGCTGGGTCCGTGGGCCATGGCCGCTGAGACTGCGCGTCCGGAGCCTGTGCTCCGCAGCGGGAGAGGCCACAACAGTGAGAGGCCCGCGTACCGCAAAAAAAAATAATAATAATATAGGGGAATCTTTGGGGGTGGGAGGAACGTGTATGAGAGCTCCATACTTAATAGTCTATTAATATATATTTTATATAATGATATAACATGTTTCATCCATGACATTTCAAAATTGTTTTTGTATTGCAATAGCCACTGTTAGTGAGGATGAAATCTATTTTCCACTCAAGGCCTGAGTTATCCATTTTTAAAATTACATATGTATTTATACATATAGTGTAGGTGTGTGTGTATACCTTTTTTAAAACCTCTGTTTTTTTCTCAGTGTTCTCTACAAAAAAAAAAAAAATTCATATTTGCTCCTATCCTTATAGAACCTAGAGCAGTACCTAGTCCATAGTAGATTTCCAGTAAATATTTGCTAAATCAATGTTGAATGATATGTTGAATGTAGATAACTAACTGTGAATGCACTAAAATGTGCTGTCATCTAGTTCATACGTACTTCTCCATCTTATTTCTAATGTTATAATGATAGGCATTGCCAAATGCCTTGCTGATATCTGGATACAGTGTGACTATAGCTTTCCCCTGTTGTGTCAGATCACTAACTCTAATCCATCTCAATTTGGCTTATTAGAGAGTATGTGGAAAAAATAATAAGGACAGTTAAACAGTAAAGGGCCCATGAGATGTGGACTAAAAGGCACAGTTGTTCATTTAAATTCTATTTCCCCAGTGTTCTTAAAAACAAAGTAGAGATTTGTTTGAAGTTATTTGGAAGGCTTTTTGAAGTCCTAGACAGTGTGGTTATTCATACTGCCCAAACAGTATTTTATTACCATTATTATTCCTTAACAAAAAAAGCAGATATCTTTAAGTTCATCTTTGAGTAAAACTGAGCCTCTAACTGAGCTGTGCCCAACTGTGAAGAAATATTAAAATCCATTTAGATCAACTACACTACCAGCATATTGGTGTTACAAATATCCAAGTATCTATATTTGTTTTAAGCACCACAGATAAAATAAAAACAATGCCTAGAAGATTCTTATGTGGCAGTCAGGCTTTGAGAACTTGACTTCAATGAACTACAAAGACAAAGAAATGAGAATTCATTAAGAACTGTGTACTTCACAGAAGGGTTAAAATTGGCCATGACAGGGAGTTGCTACCCAATAGCACCATCTCACCTTCCATTCTTGGGTTGGTTATACTCTGAGAACTGGTGCCAAAATTTGCCTATCAAGAAATTATGCTGCACTGCAGAAGGACATGAGTTTTCAGGCTATTCCAGCCTGGATGTTGCCTGGGAAACTGTCACTGGTTTGTACTACAACTAGAGGGGAAAGTGTTCCCAAGGCAAGAAAGTTTTCAGAATTCTGTCTCTCTCTGGCCCTTCTGTAGC